ATTTCCTAACCCCTCTTCACGCCACCCCCTTTTCCATCAAAAACCAACCAAAATAACTTTGTTTGGTTTTTTTTTTCAAGTGTCCAGTACCTGAAAGCGGTCAATATGAACACTGTATCGTGGCCTTTTGGTACTTAAAGCAGGCCTGGAAGAAAGATGGGGACAAGGGGAAATGGTTTCGCACTAAAAGAGGGGAGATTCAGACTAGGTAAAAGGAAGACATTTTTGACAATGAGAGTAGTGAGACACTGGCCCAGGTTGCCCAGAGAGGTGGTAGAAGCCCCATCCCTGGAAACATTCAAGGTCAGGCTGGACAAGGCTCTGAGCAACCTGATCTGGTTGCAGATGTCCCTGCTCAGTGCAGGGGATTGGACTAGGTGGCCTTGAAAGGTCCCTTCCAACCCCAACCATCCTATGAGTCTATGAAATCCTTCAAGCAGTTGACTCAACAAAAGGAACACAAGAATTAACATTTTAATTATAATGAAGTCCAAGAGAGAAGAATATAAAGTCTTGCACCTGGGGAGAAATAACACACTGGAATGATCCAGCCCAGGGTGATGTAGATGATGGAGGGATGGGTAAAGAGGACAGAGCCAGGCTCTTCTCTGTGGCATCCAGTGGAGGAACACCAGGAAATGGACCATCATCCAGTGGCAGAGCTGGATCGGTCCAGAGCTCCTGCAGCCAGTTACTCCATTGTAACCCTGCTGTTAAGAGCAAGGACAGCTGCAACACCTTGCACAATTCAGAGCCAGTCTCTCCATCCTGCTAACCTGTCCCTGTCTCCATCAGCACCAGTCTGACAAGCTGGAAGGAAAGTATTTGCAATAGTTGTGGTGCCTCAGAAAGGTAAAATGACAGTATTGTCCTGAAGATGAGAAAGGTCAGAAATCACCTGGATTTCAAAGATATCCAAGAACAGTACTGAATTACCGACCTTAGTTAATGACTGACTCTTAACCAAGGCTTTTGGAGAGCAGGAGGGAGTAGTACTAATGCACATTTGGCAAGCCTCTCGGACAATGAAAAAAATCATATACACTAGTTCTGTACATGTCTGGAAATAAAGCAAAAGGACACCTTATCTCCTACGCGATACCCAGACGCAGTGTTGAAACCATTTTGTCCTCTGTTGCAGCCACTACAGCATATGAGCCTCCAAGGTTCAGTTCATCAGATAAAGTTCAGTTCTTTATCACTGCTCCCTCTCCTCTAAACCATTTTAACCCTTTTTTTAAAAAACTGCAGTTAAATAGCACTAGGTATATATATATCAGCATCTATCTGTGCCTCCCTCCCTTAAGCATGAGATACCCAGCAACAAGAGAATATACACCAGAGCATTTGTAAACACTGGTGATAACTGGGTAGAAGAATCAATTTAATTTCATAATTCAGTTATGTGAAACCAAAGACATTCTACAGTTTAATTAACCAGTACTTCCTGTAAAATAGGTTCTTTACTACAGCAAAATAAATAGGTAGTTCACATGCCAAGAAGTAGTTTACAACTTAGGTTCTGACTCCTAGTAATAACCTCACAGGCCTCACTTTGAGTAATACTGAACTAGTAGTGGGCTGTTGAAAAAACAAAGAATTTCTGATACTGTGACTGTCACCAAAGCACAGCAATCTTGAGTCACTTTAAGACAGTATTTCAATTCAACTCTCTGGTTCACAAGTAACTTGTTCACAGATACTGTGCACAGCAATCTTGAGTCACTTTAAGACAGTTCTTGTTCACAGACACTATATCATAACTTTTTGCATCATTGGGGTGTCTCACTTATCCCAAACCTGCCTGCGGGAGCAGAGCAACTCCATACTACAGTGATGCCCAATACCAAGCTGATCTGGTATTGTTGCCCAAAGGGTTCATCGGCTCATGCTGAGCCCAGAACTGACACAGCATCTTCCCAAGCTCAGCAAGCAGCAGCTCACAGCACCCTGTCCACATGGCTTGCCCAGTCTGGATACTTAAATACTGGAAAGATACTCTGCAGCTATTACTAGGGCAACTGAACTACCTTACTTTTAAGCGAAACTATTTACCTGTTTTACCTAAAGACAGGTCATTTGTCTAATAAAATACTGACAAGATCCTAAAGCAGTCTAGTTCCTCAAACACTAGAATGCAAGTTCCTGTGAGAGGTGCTCTCAGCCTTGTTACCACCCAGGCTAGACTATGGCCAGGAGCAAACCACCCCTGCTTACTAACTTTTAGATGGGGCATGGAAATACATCTTACCTGCCTTACAGGGGACTCAGAGGATTTGTTTGCTGAAAACACTCCCACTTCAGTGGCTTGATAACAAGATGGCATACGAATAAGAGATACTTTAGTTACAAAAGCACCAGCAAAGTCGTTCTTAAGTACTTAATCACTACAATGATCTTTCTGCAAAGAAAAAGACATTGTTACCTAGACTTGCACTTGAATGGCTAAGAATTGTGTCTCCCAAAACACAGAGAATGCAGAAGCAGCCACAATTATATTCACATTAATCATTAACAGCGTAACAAAATCCAGTGACGAGATCTTTAGGAACTCATTAACAAGGGCTTAATGTACACACTTTTATTTAAACATGGCAATTTACACAATAGCTAAAAGTTTGCCTTTTTTTTTTTTTTTTTAATTACCCACTCAGGAAAACCTGTGTACCTGGATATCAGAATTAGCACCTAGTGTTTATAAAGAAAATAAAGACTCTGCAGTATTATTTACTGCAAGCACTAGTCAGATCCTAAGCAATTTGGGCACAGTGACACATGGATACATTAAATACTCTTAATTTCTTGTGATCATCCTTTTAGTTCATTGCTTCACCTCAGCAGTGGAGTTTTGGGTTTCTCTCTGGAACACTAGGAATGCATAGTTCATAAGGTGAAATACATTTGACAAAAAGGGACAAATCACAGTTGTGGTCTGAAATTACTGCAGTGCAAATTTAAAATAGCAGTGTTTTTAAAGCAGTGGAACATAAAAAAGAGGTAGGTACTTTCCTCCTTGATGGTAAGAATTTAACATTGCTTAAGAGTAGTTTCAGCTAAGTAGCTTTACATTAGATATCTCAGGTACACAAACAAGTCATGGCAGACTGGATTAACTGAAGATATTTAAAATAATATATAAAATGTTTCACTAGCATAAAAAAGTTACATTGCAAGAGGTTACTTTTTGTGGAATGAGCTATTATTCTTAACTTGAAATACACCAATTAAACTTTCAGTGACATAAAGCCACATTTACCTTGATGTTCAGTACTTCAGGAAGGTAACTCTCTGCTAAAGGGGGTCACTGAAGATCAGAAGCCTGATGTTTCTTGAAAATAAAGTGCACTTTTCTGCTCAGAGCAATTGCTCATGCTTCTTCTAAAAAGCAGCCTCTAATTATATGAACTTCTTTATCTACCAAAGATTGTCCAAAAAAAAGCAATCAAGACCTAAACCACTGATGGAAATTACTAGGCAATGCCAGAAAAGAAAGCCACTTTTGGTGCAACTCTTGCACTATCTCCTTCCCGCCCCATTTTTGTTCTCCATTACACAATTTTTAATAAAAATATTTCCTTCCTTTCTGAAGCTTGGCTCAACGTTCTTTTCAAAAGCAGTAATACCAGCACTGTGTGCACCACTGAAGGCTATCGAGTGTACTGACAAAGCAGAGAGAACGTTTACATGAAGAAATGCCATATTTTTAAACAACACTTTTTTTCTACAGAGCAGATTTCGAGATGAGTGTCAAGTTTTCAAATCATTACAATATCCTCTCTGACTGTAATTCATCAATTATACCATCTAGCTTACTGAAACATTAACAGTGTATTTGCCTTTATACTGCAACGTGATTTAACTGAAAGGTGCCAAAATGAACACTTTTATATCATTTTTCACTCATACACAAGATGTCATGCACAGCTGAGACATTAGATTTTAAATCTATTTACAATTTTACATATTTTACAATGTATATTTCATCTTTACAGCTACAGAATAAATTCAGACTAACATTGGTACCTTTTGAGTTTCTGCTGGAACTCGAATTTTTTAAGTTAAACTAATTATTAAAAACAAGTAAGTGCATGCCTAGAAGGAAGCTTTCAGAGAATATGTCAATGGACTAGTGTTGCTTAAAAATTACACTGGTTTGTGTAGAAAAATTTAAATTCAGTTCAAAAACCCACAAAAGCCTAATAGAAATCTACTTGACTAAAATAAATACAATTCCTTACACTTAACAAAAAAAAAAAAAGTACCTTTAAAAATGTACTGATTTAACCTCATCTGATTTTTAGCCTTAAATTTATTTCCTTTCCCAAGTAGCAGATAGTACTAGGTGAGGATAATGATGCCTTTCAAAATTAACACTGATAACTACCCTGCATAAACCTGAGGCTGCAGTGGTGGGGGCAGCTTGTCATTCTCCACATTTTCAGAGTCAATAGCTGCTAAGGCTTGACTTTTTGGTTTTATCTCTAATGGATATTTCTCAACAATATCTTGGACTTCCTTTGTAATTCCATCAGTCCAATCTATTAGGTCTTTCTCAAGCTTCTTGGCTTCATTGACAATTCTTTCCTGTCTCTCATTCAACTGAGATAGGAGGTCTAAGTTTTTATACATTTGCTTAACACCCAGGCACACATCAGGTGAAAAACTCTCAGATTCTTGCTTCTTCGGGGATGTCTGACCAGTCATAAAACGATCAAAGTCTTCTTGGCTTAGATTTAAAGACTGAGCATCCAGTTTTTCAATGAAGGCCACAGCACAGCACTACAAACAAAACAGAGAATAAGCATCAGTGCAAGCTACAGATTGGAACTTACATGTTCTGGTTTTTTTTAAACCTGCTGTTAGACCAGTAACTGATTATTTTAATACCTCAATAGATTGCTCCTAAAGAGCTTTTCCAGAAGCTAACTATATCAGATAGTTTGCATGCCTCTCTCCCCAAATTTTGAAGAAGTCAAAAACTCAGAGGAAGATACAGGAAGAAACCATTTTGGCTGAACTGTACTGACTCACTGGATAATGTCCATGACAAACCTCAGGGTCACTGCATTTTGGAGGTGAGAGACCAGAAAGAACAAGACATGCCAACTCAACAAAAGCACTATATTAATATTTAATAATCTGATCAGCAGAGATCTGCTATGCTCTCTATTCATTTTCTGAAGGAAGGAATGTCAAATGCCTGTCTTACCTTGTGCATGCTCTCCTCCTACTGAAAGGATTTTTAACATTCAAAGTATTTCATTCAACTGCATATTTTTGAGAACTGCTTCATGATGAAATGATGAGAAGCCAAGTTCATAACCATAATTCCTTCTAATATAAACAAGCACACAAATAAATGCCTCCTGCAGAAGCTTTAAAAAGCCTGTTTACCACCACACGTTAATGTCCTAATTCTGCAGTTCCTTCAAGAGAGGGACTCTTATGGCTTGAATGGAGAACTTTGCATCGGTAACATCTGCACAGCCCAAACTCAGAATTAAAGTACTTATCTCCTTACAGAATAAAAATATACCCAAGTATTAGCATCAGACTGTTCAAATAAAGAGCTTAGTATTACCAAGAAAACAAAGCACAGTCTGGTTTGGAAAGCAGAGAAGGAAGAGAGAGGAGGTATAAAGCAAAAAAGCTTGTGGTTCTCTAATTAACCTCAACCACTATTTGAAGATTAGTTTTAATTTTCCTTCTGTGTTATACTGTGTTTGCATTTACTGGAAATTCCAACATCCAAATAAAAGACAATCTTGTATAAAATGTCGATACTATTCCTGCACTTACCAGATTGGTAAAATAGTAGCCATCTTCTCCTGTCATTAACCTGCTTGGATTACAGAAGCGTGTTATATACTGGATATTAGACTGCAGACGGGGTGGGTTTCCCTTCAAAACAATGTATATAAGTGTTGGAAGAAAGTCATCAGCAGAAGCTGGTTCATTTTTTGTGATTTTAATAGCATTAAATATATGCTTGCTGCACTTGGTGATGCATGCTAATTTATCACGAGGGACACGCTTTGAATCCATTTCAATAATATCTGTAAGATAAATAAGTTCTCAAATCATTAAAGCCATATTAATCAAACACCTGAATGACTAAGACACTTACTAGACAATATTGCATCATTTTTATCTGTGGTGCTTGCTGTTCCATAGAATTATCTGTTCAGTTGGTTCAGTCCAAGCATTTCAAATAGATTAGGTAAGCTTAAACATTTCTGTGATAGAAAAATTATTCCCGCTTCACAGATGATATACCAGTCCCACACCACAAAGATTGCTGCCAACCTAAAAGCCTGGACCCCCTTCTGATGACAGCCAAAAAATAATCTCTATGAACAAAAGATCTGAAATTTAAAGCTGTAAATGTAAACTTCATTGTTCACAAACCTGTAATTGCTTTTACAACCAGATCAGAGACTTCTGGAATTTCTTCATTGACAGGAACACACAGCATTTGTGGAGTCACCCAGTGCAAAGCCCTGTAATAAGAAAATATGTTACACCATTCTGTGCCAGTAACATTCAGGTGTTTGAAACCAGCTGCTTCTTGAATTCAATGCACAAGGGGTGCTTTGTGTAAATGAGGCACTAGTCCAGTAATAAGCTAGTTTATTCCACTGAAGTAATTCATTTCCAGAAAAAATATTTTCCTTTTTTGCTATAATTTAACAAAAGCACAGCAATTAGTTTTCCTAGCATAGTATCTTTCATTATGGATTCTATTAATTCCTTCTGTTTCTTAAATAAAGCATTTTTAACTCTTTCTGGTTAAAAAGCTTGCCATTTTTGTATGTACAGCAAAAGATTTTTAATGTGCTTGATTCAGAGCAAATTCACAGGACTGTGGATTACTCAACTATTTTTCTTTCAAAGACTTACCTGATCCTCTTTTGGACAGCAAGATCTTTCTTCTCATCATCAGTCGTTTCAGGGCAAAAGACATATTTGTACTGTCGAGTCATAATGTATTTTTCAATCTGATCCATTGCTTTCTCAACTTTTTCAGGGGGCACTGAAAGGTACAAATCCCACCCCCAATACAGTAAATCAAGTATTCTGTGGCTCTTTTGAAGATTTAATAGAGTTTGGTCCCAATATCACCAAATCAGTACTACTGACTTGAACCAACCCGAGTTAATAAAGAATAGATAAATAGATATACTTGGAATATTTTCACTCTCTACAGCAGAAGTAAAAATATAACAGTGAGAATACCACAGTCACATGCCAAAGTACATGCACAGTGTCACAATGAAGCACATTCAACAAATTTGGTTCAGCTGCTTGTAGCTTACAAGAATATTTATCGAAAATACAGTCTTTGAGAATAAATCCAGTGAAGTCTTCCAAGTCCTCTGTTCCTGTTTATGTCTAAAATAATCCCTGGGTATGTTTAAGCTGCGCCACTTACATACCAGGCACCTAAAAGCAGTCTGCAACAGAAACACTCCCCTCTCACTGGCTTCTTGTGCGTTGTTACAGTGAAATCCAACTTCAGTTTTAAACAAATAGTATTGAATTTAAAACAAGAGGCAAAAACAACTCAACCACATTTAATTGAGAGTTTAAGAAAAACCTGTAAAAACAAATAATTTGGCCTGCAAAACTTTACAGGACTAGTGCTGCTGGGAATAGTTCTAACTATGGTACTAGAATTTGTTAACAGGATTTCTGAAAGCTGGTTAGGAATGCTTTGCTTTTACTTGAAAATGCAAAAGGCTTTATCCTCAAAATGTTATTTTTTCAGTAGTAAGATATGTGGAAGAGGAACATGATACCTTTCCAACGTGTCTGTAATTTCTCTGCTACATTTTGATAGAAGTCCTGGGCACACTCAGATTGCTCCTCAATACTTAAGTCCTGTAACAGAAACCTGATTAAGTGTGGAAGAAAGGGCAGCAATGCCTCTGATGCTTTGTTTTTGTTTAAGGAAATTGTCCAGCTGCAGTAACAGTCTGAGAATGCAAATATATCTCAGAGGTGTTTATGTTGGCTAAATTATATTAAAAAATATGAGAAACCAAGACATACTGGCTCCTTAACATGTGAAAGGCTCATGTTTACTTGCTGAACAGATGTATATTAGCAATGGAATTGGACAGGTGCAATGCCATTTTCCCCAGCCACATCCATTTTTGTGTCTATAACTTTTTAAAACATGATGTACAGTATACCAAATAAACAAGGACATAAATCATATATTTGAAAGATTACCTATGCAGTAAACACTCTAATGATAAATTTACTATGAAATATACTCACAATGTTATTTGTGAAACAACCTTGTCTTTTGAGCATAATCTATCAGCTACTGAAGAACATAATGGAGGTTTGAAGGTTTAAAATTAACTTTACTAATCAAGTCACTTTTCACCATGAAATGGCAGCATAAAATCTTACGTTAAAGAAAAACAGAGAGAACTTAGTTTCTGAATTCTCTAAAGCCAACAACTAGACAGTTACTGTGAAGACAGTCTCAGCTTTGAGGGCAGTGCTGCATTTCAGGCCTGGTTCACATGTAGTAGCAAATAGTATGTTTTGAGAAAGACTTCTTTGTGACTACCACAAACTATCAAGGAACCAGGAAATGAGAGTACCTTCAATGTTTATAACCATAATAACAATACACTATTTTCACTAACTCTATACTCATAATGAATCAGTTCTAAAAGAAAGAGAAAAACTTCAAGATGTTTTTAAAGTGGAGGAAATTTAAGATTCCATTAGAACTCCCTCTAATTTCCAGTCCAATTTGAGAATATAATTTGAGTAACTACATACTAAATAGGAAAGGTATGGGAAGAGGAAAAAAAAAAGTATGTTGCATACTGACCCATTTCAACCATAGGTGGCACTACAGACACATTAGTATTTCAAGAACATTAAATTTTTTATATGGAAAATGAAGATGTAACCCTTATTCCATATTAAAAAACCCCCACAGTCAAGTTCCTCTTCCCCAAAGAAAAGGAGATGTGTGGGCTGATACTGTATTATCTTTATAACTTTTTTGACTTAAGATATCAAAAAACTCATTATGTAATATATTATAATTTCCACAAGTCATATTTATCTAGAAAACTGTGTGTTCAACAGACATTTTCTCTTTTAGAACTAAATTTTTTTAGCATGCAAAAGAAAGTTCTCGCAAGACATCTGAGATACTGGTGTTGGAGGGTTTCTTTGGTCATATACCATACCAAAAAGGAAGGCATTCAGAATTTAAGACTGCCACTAGATCTTCATTTCACTAAGTGTATCAGCTGAAGACTCCTGTATACAATATGTAACAAACAAACTGCTGGAAGAAAAGCAGCATTTTCTCCATCTCTCCCTAATTTCTCCATATTATTTATGTAAAAGACATGCAAAACTTACTCTTTTATGATTCATCGTGTCCAAAAAGAGTTTACACTGCTTATAGATATCTTGTCCAGGCTTATGGTATGTCTTGAGAAATTCTATGAATTCCTTGGATACTCGGTCTGTCTCGATGCTAGCCTGCCTGTTTATAGAAGGGCTGGGAGCCTTGGCTTCTTGGATTTCTGCTGGGAAAATGTGGGCACATCAGATTAGTTTTTTTTTTTTTTACACTGATGAATGAGTTCAGGAAGCATTTAACATGTATTAAAATTACAGGTTGTCTTTTGTTTTTTCAACTGTACAGAAGAATAAGCATTTCTTTCTCAAGCTGTACAAGTGAAATGCTAGATATTATTAAACAGAACTGTAGAAACTGCATATTCCACTGAAGTGAAACATTTATAGCCACATACCCATTTACACTAATGGCCTTTCCATATTAGCAAATTACTGGAACATGGGTGTGTTTTCCAGTTTCTTACATTTTCATTCCCAGGTAAGATATCTCCATATAAGGTCAAGGCTTCCAGATGGGATTCTGCAGCAGTTTAAGATAATGGAGTGACCCCTTTTCCATTCTCCCTCACCTGCTCCTCTGCTTGCACCAACACAAGCATTCATTCAACTGCCTCACGAACTAGCTCGGGGCAGTCCTAGACAGAAATCAGTGCTTCTTATGGGGTTATTTTTCAGCCTGATCAGCTCCCCAAGCTGGCTTCCTACCAGGTCACAGGAGCATCATCAGCAGCACAAGACAAGGAATGGAAGCATGAGGTTGGTGCAAACGCAGCAGCCCTTCTTAGGCTGGCAGCAGATGCCACAGAATCACACCTGCAGTGTAAATGAGAACTTGGCCATTTGTGTTTCAGCACGAGCAGAAGCACCGCATCTGTTCAAGGAGGAATTTACTTGGCACTCGAGAAGGAGAGAGGAACACAGACTGCACACAGCACTGGATGCAAGTTTATACAGCTGCAACCACGGGGTTTTTCCACACAAACACATCTGATTTTCCAAGGTATGCGTTGCAAGTTAATTGTACTGATCCAATACCTTCACTACCCAAGTTTAGTTCACCCACCTTTCAACTTGCCAGCCAACACTGTTCAAAATGAAGGATTGAATAGAGGTGATGGAAATGAACATGATGAAAAGCAAGCAGCAAAGAGACAGAAAACATGAAAATATTCATGATCAACATGATACACACATATCTTTCAATCTGAAAATACTAACATGCACAACAAAAAAAAAATCCTTGTTTCAATAGGCATACATGCAGAACTCCAAAATAAAACAAAATAAATGGGATTAGTGTTATTTAAATTGCTATGCTTAATTTGAACTTGAGGCAGCTTATTGAGGGGCTTTTTTTGCTTGTTGTTATTTGCTTTTAAAGAGATCCAGCACTACAGTAAATTCAAAGCTGTATGATCTAGTGACTAACAAACACTGATCATCTGACTAAAGCACAAGACTCATTAGGACCTCGACATTTCAAGCATAACCTTCTCTGAATAACAGCTTGGTCAGGTACCATTAGAACACTAACGTTATAAGTGATAAGAATAGAAAAGGTTTTACAAATATTTAAATTCCAACTGTAACAATTAAGATAGAAAGTGCAAATCAATCTCCTTTCTAGATACACAAGAACACTTTTTCCAGAGGGGATTTTCTCCAACCTTCTTTATACCCAAGACTCAAAGTAGAATGCCTGTGCAGTATTCAAGCTGAACAGTAACCTTTACTATATGTTGAACTAAATTTGTCACATTTAATATTACACAACCAGTAAGAAGAGAGCATAGTTTTGAAATAACAAAAAAAACAGGTACACTTTTGAAAGGGTAGAATTATAAGATATGTGAGTCCACAGTATTATAAAAATAATGAACCTCATTCTACTATTTGACTTTAAGGAATATGAATATTATTTTTTCTGTCACAAATTTAAAATAGATTATTTTTTAATTACTAGAGAAATGTAATCAATTGAGGCAGATTACTGTTAATGTAGGCATTAAAAAAATATTGACTGTTAGAATGAACTGTCTTTTTAATGAGTCACACCAAGAACTACATGCAGTCACTCAGAAATGTTGCAGCTTCACTTATCTCTGCGTTGAAATTCTGATTTAAGGAAAATCATAGAATGGTTTGGATTAGAAGGGACCTTAAAGCTCATCCAGTTCCAATCCCCCTGCCAGCAGCAGGGACACCTTCCACTAGACCAGGTTGCTCAAAGCCTCATCCAGCCTGGCCTTGAACACTTCCAGGGAGGGGGCATCAACAACTTCCTTGGGCAACCTGTTCCACTGTCTGACCACCCTCACAGTGAAAAACTTCTTCCTAATATCTAATCTAAACCTCCCCTCTTTCAGTTTAAACCCATTTCCCCTTGTCTTGTCATTAGTTGCCCTTATGAAAAGTCCCTCCCCAGCTTTCTTGTAGGCCCCCTTATGAATCTGTACAATATGCACTGATTACCAAGGACTACAGGAACAAATGCACTTTCAGCAACAAAATATTTCAGCTTTGTCATGTACTTTAAAAGAATTAAGTCTAACTAAAAAGATGCTGATTACAGAAAAGAAATTCCATTTGAACAAGTTAAAGAGAACCTAGTTGAGGAGATATGCCAAAATGAAAAGAAAGATTATGGGAAGAGTTAAGAAAGGATCACCTCTACAAAGAATAAACACTACTGATATTAAAATCTTTCTCAAGGCATTCTACAAAAATGCTAGCTGTCACAGCAGAACATTAGCACTCCAGTGATTCACTATGGTTGTGCCATGGTCATGGAGCTGAGCCCAAGTAAAGAATATTTTTTAAATGTTGTAATTAGCTGTACTATGCACTTCCATTAGTCTTCATATAACTGGCAAAATATAAGAACGGTACATCTTCAGATTTCTTTAGTCAGCAGAACAGATCAGAATTGCAAATAAAGAACATAGGACAAGATCCTAAAACTGCTTGCATCAAGGGTTTTGGGGTCCTTTTGGTTTAAATGAAACCAGTTTGTCTTCTCTTGATATGAAATTGTCTTCTTGATTAATGTAACAAACATCTGGAGATGTTTTCAGAATGTAGAAGTTCTTGAAGTATGAACTCTTAAATTTAAGTAGTTTCAAGTTATAATCAAGATTTATAATAGCAGCCTGGAATTCTTTTGTATAAAAATAGGAAGCAGCACAAGATCTAGCTATTTCTTAAAAAATTTGTATTTTTTGAAGGTGGATAGATGTCATGCTAAGGTAGCTCAAAGAAGTTTCAGCTTTATTCCTATATTCTCCCTACCAAAAAGCAACGAATTGGTTTAGAGATTCAAGTTCACTTCAAGATGCTAGACTTGCTTTTTTTGTCATCTTCATATTCAACAGCACAAGTTATAACTGGCACAACCCTAGTTTGTATTTTGCAAAGCCCAACTACAGAGTAAGCTTACTAAAATCAAGCAGACAGCTTGCTCAAGCTGTACTGCATTACCTTCAGTAGGGGAAGCCAGTTCCCAGGAGGGAGTAAAAATCTCCTTCAAATCCCTGAGAATGTTATCAGCATTTCGCTCCCTCCCAAGCTGTCCTTGCTTAACGATTTTCTCTTGAGCCACTGAAATAAATGCAAAAGCAAGCAAGAAACCAAGAGTGGGAGCATGTCAGGAGTCATGGTGAAGGGGATAAAAAAAAAGAAGATATGGAAAGTGAGAGGAATGAACATAAAAAATCATATGTAGCTGAATACCTCATTTAGCCAGCTGCTGCCCATGCACCAAGACAAATTCTAAGATGAAATCCAGACATTTTTAGAATTTCTTATTAAGGAAATGCATGGTCTATAAGGCTAACATAGATTAATGTTCTTTTTTCTTCTGGAATGTCTCCTCCACAGTCTAACATTTTCCGGTTTTTGCCCATGTAAGCTATTGCTATGCAAAGGCATCAGTGCCATTAATCATTCTTACTTGTAACACATGCTGTAGAATAAATATTCAGCCAACCACAAATTTGATATTCACAACCCACATATGCATAAACACTACACGTTCCCTTTCACATTTATTTCAATTTAAAGGCACTCTGCTTACACATTCCAATTTCCCTGCTGAAGCTGTCGAAGTGATCCATTATGGCAGCAGCATCTGATCTTTTATACCAGCATTTCTATCACACTAAGACATATCAGTTTGTTTGAGGTGACTGATAGCCAGTACCTTTTCTCCTGCTTTCTTCAGGAAGAGTTCCCCTTCAAGTCCTAAACTGCAGTATCACACTATGGTTGACTCATGAATGTAGCAAGAATGTTCATCATACAAACAGGATGCTTCCACTCAGCAGTGCAGTGCTAGACCACCACCAGGAATACATTTATACTAGACTTTAGTGGAAGAACTCCTGTATAACTAACACAAACACAGCCACAGATTTAGAAGTGCACTGTTCTATTTAACAGATTGTTTGGTATCACCCAAAATCTCATGTTTTTCCGTGTTTTCAGTAAGGCTTCATATATTGCTCTCCAGAAGCGTCATTATTCCAACTTTTTAAAGTCAAGACACAGAGCGCTACTCTTCCTTTTAGTACAATACTATCAAAAATACTTTTTAACTTAACAAGTTGTACAGAACCATTAAAAGCAAAGGAGAAAGTTACCCTTCTTAGCTCCTGTTCTGGAAGAAGCAGTGAAGAACTTCTTCACAGTAGTGACCTTCCGTGTTTTCTCATTGGTTTTCTTTTCTTCAAATTTTGAAAAGGTCAGTGACTGTGCCCCTTGGGTACTTTGACTACTGGCATATGCTTCTTCCTCCTCACGCTGGAGTCTGGAATTGGAAAAAAGTAGGTCTAATTTAAATGTTTAAAATCAGCACAAATAAGCTAATTTCCTGTGTGATAAATTAATTACTCAATTGACATGCTAATTCTCCTCTATGCCCATCTTCATTTCTTGCTTCCTACCACATCTCCCTTCATTACATCACGTCCATCCTTTTCATGTTGCAATGGTGAAAGTGAGGTAAAGCTTAAGATGGCCAGGGAGGATTAAACAGCAAGATCAAAAGGAAGGAGACTGAAGTACAATCACAGTCACCTTCCCCTCATTCCACAGCCCTGAATTCTGCAAACATAGAGTTGAGGGAAAAGACTGTGGGAGAACTTCCAATAACCAAGTCAGGAGACTTCCTCCCTGCATCCTGTTCTGAATTTCAGCACTTGTTACCACAGACAATCCTTTACCATCTTACTGAAGATAAAAACCATGGCTCACAGGTGAAATACCTTGTCACAATCTCAGAAATATTCTGGGAAATAGATTATTGTTGTCATCATTTGTTTTCAAAGTCTTGATAATATATATGCTTGCTCAAATGAAAGAGGCGAATCACTTCTCTGCAACACTGCTAGGTGCTTTGCAGAGACCAAGCCCATCTTTTAATCTACAAATACAAAAGAATGAGGGAGGCCAAACATACTAAGCCTTTGATGCCCACTTTTCTTCCAGTTCAGGATGAATAAAATGGATTAAATTATATTGCTCTTCAAGATGCTAAAAGGTTGTGCAATTTTCTTTAAGCATCCATACAGATCAGAATAAGATAGACTATAAATGGTCTTGCCTTTGTAATCTCTTAAAGCAGGAATTGTGTCTTATCTGTGCTGTCAAGTCTGTCTGTTCACTACAGCAAACAATCACAGCTTATCTGATCCTTTAGCATCTCACTACCAAACAGTTACTTATTAAAGAATTCTTTAAATGCCCCACTTTATTGTACATACAGTTATAAGTCTGACAGCATAACTATCTGCTCTGATACTGAAGTTTTTATTAACTGTTTATGGTGGAAGAAAAAATGACATGTCCTCTGTGCTGTACTCAACAGCTTACCTAGCACCTTCTGATTAGGCTAGAACAAGTTTCAAGCACTTCTTTCTACCTTTCTTCGCAGTTAAATCTGTTCCAGTGCCAGACAGGAAAGAGAACTTTAAAAACAAAGAAATAAACAACTTCAAAGCTTAAGGTGAGAGGGTCTAGGGTGGTTAGATACCAGAAAACTTAGGGCTTCCAAATTCTAACCATCAGCTGGGACCCAACTGGAGTTCAGAGAGCTTCCACAGATGTCACCTTCTTCAGACAGCCTGATGTGAACAGAGCACTTAATGCCTTTTTTTTCCCCCCTCAATGACCTTGGTTAATGTATCAGTAGGTAACTCAAGTTCACCAAAGGGTTCCAGACTCGAGCACAGACCTGTGTCTCAGTCATTTGCACTTTTTCCTCCAGTTCTGTTATACACCACTAATACATTCAGGTAAGCTTATGCAGAGAATCTGTGTCAATGTGAACAAACATTTTGACCAGCTCAAGTCAACTGCCAATCAGCTCTTAATACACAGTTAGAAGCTCCTCCATCTCAAGAATTAATGTAACCCTGAGACAGTTAATTCTGAATGGATGTCCTGTAACTCACACCTGGAAGTGACACAAAGGACAGCTGTAGTACAGAAGAGGATGCTTTGCAGTTTCTCAGGCAGTGGATGTTTTTGTTTTCTACCCAAATCCAACAAAAAGCAGTTGTAGCTGCTCTTATTTTCTCACTCGAGCACACATTTCCTCCAACACCCATTTTCAAGGTCAAGCATTTATCACACTAGGGAAACTAGACTGTTTTGCAGAAAATACATGCTTAGAAAAAATTGCTTAAATTATTAAAGCTAAACCTTTGATGCTTTTGGGCTTAACCCTGTAGTTTAAAAGAATGACTAGAGATAAGACTAAAACCAATTTTTTAATCAGTAGCTGAAATGTAAAACCATTGTGCTGGCTATATTCAAGACAATAACTGTCGTCTCCAGAGGCAGAGGTATTTTAATCAAAATTGTCACTTTCACCCTTCCAACTGCTAGTTAGAATTACAGATTTTAGTATGCAAATTAGGTCAAAGTATTTGTTGAGAGGTGGGGGGTGTTTATGTTTGTTACTTCATATTTTTTTTTGAAACCTCTTAAATTAGAATGTCATAAGTATTCATCTTTGCATCAAAAGGAATATTTAAATTCCTACTGGAAAGGTCAAATTTTAGAACTTATGGTGAAATTGAGCCATAGCAAATAGGACAAGAAAACAGGAGACAGGAATAGTATTTAGTGAAGTCACAGATGAAGGAATAAAGAGGGCGCTTTACCGCTCTGCCAGCTCCCAATCCTCTTGAATCTGTTTCTGCCTGGCCTTATGGTATTCTTCTCTCCAGCACTTGGAGCAAAATCCCTGCCAAGCAGGATTGCCATAGTAACCACATCCCTTCTTGCACAGTAGCTCTGACTGATCAACGTGAATTCCTCTGCGTTCAGATTTCAGGTTCATTTTCTTCCTGTTTAAAGAGAAAAGGGTTAAAGACAGAAAGAGGTTAACAGCCTGCTAGAGATAATTTCTTTTGTAGGCTTGCCTTTTAGAAAGAAGTCACCCGTTTTAATGATTTAATAGTTCCATAGCAACAAAATAAAGGCCAGAGGAGGAAGGGCACAGTTATACAACTGTAACCTGAAAGTCAACTACAGCATTAGCATATGTTTGCACAGCTTTGACCTGCAAACAGTCCTAGACAGCTGTCCTGGACAACAGGTCAGCAGTACCAGCTGTACAGCTACATGTGGAAAAAGGCACCAGTCTCTGATCTCACCAGCATATTGTTCTAACTGTTGCAGAGGCAGAGAGCAACAGAGGAAAAAAGAAATACAGAAAGTTACAGTCACCACCAAAGAGAAGCAAATTGAGTAAGAAACAAAATGTAAATAGGTTTGTATTCAGGCTAGGACTCTCTCTGCAAAGAATCACACTGGTGAGACTTTGTTAACAGATCTTTGGCCTCAAAGAATGTGTCTCCACAGCAGAGTGCAGTGTCACAGCTAACCCAGCAGCTATGCTGACATGGATGAGGTGCACCTCCATTTCCTTCAGCACTCAAGTGAGTTAACTTGAGCACTTGGATAAGGCACAGCTCCACAGAATTTATATACAGTGACTGCAACAAAAAGATTTATTTTCATGCCTACACCACCACTGTGCAGGGTCTGTCTTCCAACCATCCAGCCTTCCCCTTTCTTTTCTTGCTTGACAGAAACCATCCCACATGCCAGCTCCCTCCCAAGGGCATGTCAACTACTTTGTTCTTCTAAATGCTGGATTCATTTTAGGAGAATAGCAGCACAGGATCACCTGCACTAGCAAGTTTAAGGTCCCATTATTAAAACATTGACATTTGGATTGCAATACTGACATACAGAGACACTAGAAATATCACAGCAAGGCACTGGAAACCAGGTCTTGGTAACCAAATCCAGCCCCTTTTTCTTCCTGCAATCCTGGGCAAAGAGTGCTTCACATAAGCTGAGCGAGCACCTCAGCAATTCAGTTTGTTGCTCTCACATTCATAACCAAAGGCATCCCATGGACTTCCTTCCTCTAACAGGAAAACCAGGAGATTATTAAACCAACACTGTCCTGCAGTTTGAAGACCCTGCCCTCCCCTCCAGCACGTTACTTAAGATCACACAAGGAAAACAGAACGCACCTTGAGATGCAATGGACGGAAAGCAAGATGAAAACAATTATCTTAAATTGAAGGATGTCAGTAACTGTCAGAGTAACCTTGTTTTTCCCAGAGATTCATAATGACACCTAAGTCCATATGCTTGAGGAATCTGGATCTCTGGTTGTTCATGTTTCTGCCCAGCAAAGGTTCCTCACCCCTGGCAGCTCTTGCACTCAACAGTCACAGAAAGAGCCCCAACTCTGGGTCATCCAGTGAAACAGATGTGACACCACAACTGACATTATCAAAGACAGTTTTCTGCTATAGGAAGTAACACCTGTTTTGTTCCAAATTGAATTACAGAAGAATAACCATTTTAAAAGACTGATGATGTTTAAAGTTTCCCATTAATCTAAACAAATTATTTTCAGTAAAGTAACAGGAAACACATATGATTTTCTCTGCAGGGGGAACAAATTAAATATTCCATCTTATCTATGTAAGGCTCCTTCCACTAACATCTTTCCTATCTTTGAAAGAAGTAATGAGTTTCTAAAAATAACCTAAAAATACTTTCATTGAAGAGACCTGTATATTAAGGGAATCAGTTTCTTAATAGCATCATTTATAAAGACACATTTTCTCATTTATATAGATGGAAAACAGCTGAATACTCTCTTTTCTTTCCCACAGAAATGTCTGACAGTTAAATAGACATTAATATGCTTCTGCAAAGCAAAATGAAAAAAAACAACTAGATTTTAAATATTTGAGAGTGCTTTACTTCATTCTCACATGGACAAATTAAGAAAGGAAAATAAGTACATTGTCTTCATGAAAATCTTTTGGTTTCTGTACTGTTTCATTTTGTGATTCCTCAAGTAAGGTCTTTGTGTTGACTATAACAGCACACAGATCTGCTGACTAACAGTCTATCTAGCAAACCAGAAACTGAACATCAAATGTTTGTCAGCTGCATAGCTTGGGATGGAAATTGCATGTTGGCAGGATTTGGAAACACAACCCATTCTCAGAGCATCACACGTGCCCTTTATCACCAATTCTGAAAAAAAATGTGGAAGCAAAAGCTTGAAACTCTTCAGTTGTTCCTGGTCCATTTTAAAGGCTTCTTCCTAAAAACAGAAGCTGCAGCAGCTTTTTGATTAGAGATTTATATTGTTGGTGCCTGAACTAGAAAAAAAGACACCATGCATGAAATTTTCAATATTGCCATTAATGGTAAAGCTGAGCATTTTTCATGGTAAACTACAGGGAGCTATAAAAGGCATAAAAGAGAAAAACATTTTCCTAACACAAACTTCGGAGAAATTTTATATCAATGTCTATCTCCCAAGGAAATAACGGCCCTGATCCTATCACTCACTACAGTAGAGTAAGTTACAACAGAATTGCAATCTGTAGGCCAATCTCATCAATTCAGGTCTCTGTTCTTATTCAAAAGCACTGTGCTTTGCACACTCAGATTTTTTGAAAATTAAAGGAGTAGAATGAAATCCATGACCTTGCTTCTGTCCCACACCAACATCAGGCTTTTTGAAAGTCAGATTGTTTTTCTTTACTCTGTTTCTACACCAGTTGTGCACTTTCACTGTCTCTACACAGACACACAAAAATGAGCTTTCTAGATCCTCAGGGCTTTATCCACATACTAGTGCCACAATTACCTTTGGCATCCTGCTAGCCCTTTGTGTACATGAGAACTAAAAATAAGGTGTCTAAAAATTCAGTGTCAAAGTTCAGCAGCTTTCCCTGGAGTAAGCAAAGCAAGTCTCTTAGGAGCAAGATTTTTGATTTTTTTTTTTTTTTTGCATTCTTTCAGGAGGGGTTTGTAAATAGTTACAAAACCAAGCCACTAGAAAGCAAGCTTGTTCTGTTTCCTTCCCTTCAAGTATTTTCAATTGCAGTTACATCAGTTTCAGATCCAGGGACAAAAGAGGTCACCCTGAATCAATATGAAGAAATCACATGCAGCACTCAAAGCAGAGGCTGTTTCCTTTAAAGAGATACAGCGACTACAAAAAAAGCTTCACAGCCAGTTTTTGCAGGTCAGCATTTCCATTTTGATGAATGGAACAACTCAAATTTTAATAAACTGATTATGAAAACATCCACCTCAAGTCAACTTTCTGCAACCAAAATCACTGTGTACTTTATGATCTTTCATTCCTAAAAATGTTTTGTTGGCACATTAGAGTGTTTAAATGCCTTTTTTTCCCCCTTTTCTTTCCTCCCTTCTCTCTCCCCCTCCAGCTAAAAGTTTATCATTTTTTATTCAAAGATCAACCACTCAATCTATTTGCAGTCACATCTCTTATTTTGCATGGTCCGAACTCTTGCTTTCATTCCTGCCCTGAATGCGTGACCTGTTTAAAGCTCAATTCAGAGGAACATAATCCGAAAAAGAGAACAAATTTGTTGTTTTTCTGGAGCTGGAGAGGTCAGTCAAACTGCCTGACCACCAAGAAGTCAGGAAAACAATGCTAAGGAAGGTAACAAAATTCCATATTAAAAAATAAATAAAAATTGTCTTAATCAAGGGTGACAATAAAGCACCAGAAGGTCATAAATAAAATTAACTAGTACAATTTGGAGAGGTGCACTGCACCAAACATCCTTGTTACATCTCTTGTACACTCCTCAACAACTCCAAGAAGCACTACGTCTCCCTCCCAGGAGCAAATGCCTGTAATTTAAAGTATTCCCATTTATCACTTTGCTCAGTAAGTGCTTCAAACAGTTGTGCTGTGAATATTGTCTTGGAAAGCAGAAATGACATTCTTACACAGCTCCTCACAAACACCGTGATACACAATCTTCTTTTAAGCATTTCTGTGCCAGTACCAGACCACATCAAAGGTTAAGATCTATGTTAATTAGTATCATCTCTTTGGAAAGTTTAGAAAAAGAAAGAAGAAAAAGGCTCTTGGAATGAGTTATTAATTTATAAAATCCCTTACCCTGTGTTACCTTTTTGGAAGTAAAAGTTTCTTCCCTCCTTTTTCCCTCTGAAATGGAAAAATGGAAAACACCCAACCCCTTTTCTACAATCACAATCTTTAATCTCCAGCTAACACACCACGTGTGTAATTCCTCAGAGGATCACTGCTAAGGCGTGCTGTTACATCATGGCTGCAAGAAGTGGATTTATTCTGAACAATTACAACAGGGAAAGCTGTCCCATTGCTGGCAATCAGCGTGTTTGTACCACAGCTAACAGAGGACCAGACTGTATGGACACCAAAGAGCTCCTTGTATCACTGCCACATCCATTCCCGGGGCTGACAGCTCACCAACCCGAGCTCCAGCACCAGCTGCTCGTGGCTGTTTCTGTCCACGCTGCTCTACGTGTCAAGCTTTATTCTTCCAAACTGTAGTGATCTCAAGAGCAGGTGAATACTTGTGTGCTGTTGGTACACGAGGCATATGATACATGGTTATGTTAGATATATATGAAGGGTGGCACATCAAAGGTCTCTAATGACAGATCAGATCTTCCGTAGCTTTTTTCTAAGCGTCTTAGAATATTTACTTTTGTTACAATGCCCAACATGTGAAAAAAAAACCCAAACCACTGTGGTTTAATTAAAAATTAGCTTTTTACTTGCTTTAATGCAATTCATTCTGAAGCTCTTGAATACATCTTCCTATCAACACATTTTTCTTGTTGCACCTCATAGAATCACAGACTGGTTTGGGCTGGAAGGGACCTTAAAGCTCATCCAGTTCCAACCCCCCTGCCAGCAGCAGGGACACCTTCCACTAGACCAGGTTGCTCAAAGCCTCATCCAGCCTGGCCTTGAACACTTCCAGG